TCAGTTTGTGGATTGTCCTACCCAGTGTTAGTTGCAAGCTGTTTGACATGTACGGCCCAACCAGGCCCCTGCCGCCTTTGACCCCATCGGTGGCTTCTCGGAGGCTGGTTCGCTTTACGGCTGCGGCTTAAGGCTTAAGGCTTCAAAGGCTTAGCAATTATAGAGTCAGGGACCCAGGGACTAATGATAGGTGCGGGGGTTCTCGGGATTTTCTTGTGGGTAATGTTGACCCCTGATTAATAAACCCCCCCCCCGCCCCCCCCCCCTCAAGGTTGTCAAGGTCGCAGGCCCCCCACAGGATCACAGACCCCCAAATAATCCCGTGAAGCCAAATTGCAGTAAACAGTGGTGCTAGTAGTAGTAGTCGTAGTAGCAGCAGTACTAGCAGTGGCAGTAGCAGCAGCAGTAGCAGTAGCAGTGCCACAGGAGTTTGACTAATCGTGGGACGTTGATTAATCGTGGGTGACACACGATTGCTGGGGATAGCTCAAACAGCTTGTTTGGGGGCTTGGAACGACACAGCAAGTAGTGTTGAAATCACCACTTTGGAGGATTAAAACGTGAAGCGGTTTTGGGGCCAATGAGGTTTCAAGTTTAATATCGGGGAAGGGTTTAGGCCTAGACCAAGTCTTGCCCCCTTTAAAAGTAGTCTTCGAAGCACTTTTTGAAATTATAGATCCCCAGACGATGTTGCCTTTAATCGTGGGGGTTTTCTGCAAAAAACGATCCTTATTTGGGTGCTGCCTTTAAAGTAGTACAGATTGGGGCCGGAGCCGCCCGCAGGCCGCCTTTAATCGTAGGGGGATTATTAATCCTAGGTCAACATTAGTTAGCACATGTTTCACTGTCATCTGATGAAGTGGTAATATTCCACATCACAACCGAAGCATCGGAGCTCAAACCTGAGCGACAAAATTTGTTGGGCGAGGGGCCTGACTTCTTTCTAGAAGGCCCGAGGCTCCTACTTCCGTGTTCCTTCGCTTCTCTATACAGCTTTCGCGCTGTTCATGGAACGCGACCAATTCTTGTGCTTCTGCCTGCAGCTGTTTTGTCATTGTCCCTGGAAGTACCGGGCCTCGTCGCTTTGACTAGTCTGCACTATCAGGCTATCACGGTTTAGGGCCATACTTTGAACTTTGAGACTTTGAGGTGTAAGATACCGTGAACTGTGTTAGGGCTTGGGGCATACTTGGAGGCTGCAAACTCTGCGAGCTTCAAGGGTCATCGAGGTTTAGGGCGTCAACACACTGAGGGTTCAGGGTTTATCTATCTCCTGTGCAGCCATGGCGAATCCTTTCCTTCAGGTCTTGAGCATTCTGGAATGTTTGATGGAGTGGGAGGACGACGTGTTATGTTCCGAGCTGGGCCAGCTTTTTGTGGACTTCAAGGAGAACCTCTATGAGCGGAAGCTCCACGATGAGTTTCATGTGCCTGGCAACGAATTTGTGCGAAAGGGCAACTGGGTGATGACCCAAGCACTTTCCTTCATCCTCAAGAAGGACTGCTGCAGCCTTGGCTACTCGATGGTCAAGCATGATGCATCTGGAGCATGCTCAGAGGCGTTTTTGTTGTGGCTGCACAACACTGGACGGGATGAACACTTCCACCACTTCATTAGAATCCTCAATGACCTGGAAAGGCTTATCGGTGCGGTACACCAGTGGTCGCCGGCTCACTGGAGTTCTTTGTCGCCCCGGCATACACTGCCACAGACTGTCAGCCAGCTTGTGCCATGCGTCTATGCAGCGGACAGAGTCATTTGAGGCCAGAAAACCTGGCCCTGAAATCGCCCCTCCTGTTGGGGGCCCGGAATGCTGGCTGCTGGCTGTCAAAGACAGAGAATCGGGCCGAGCCGGTCCTTTTGTTTTCACCACGGCAGTAGCTCATTGTCATTGTCACAGACATGAGCTCTAGTTTAATCTTGGGGGGCTATAATAGGATTATATGGTTGGACTACGACAGGCGATAGTAATACTAAGAGAAACAACAGGGGTTTAGTTTAGACTAACTAAGAGGGACAATAAGAGTTTAGTTTAGACTATAGCTGTAGCTCACATTGTCACATTCACATGCCGTGGGAAACTTTTCACATGTGCCAAAGCGGCACATGTGCGGAAATCACCGCTTTCTGTCAAAACTGCTGAGTGCGCGCTCGTGCTTCCCTAAGACCTCTTGTCCCTCCGGAGCTTATCCCTGCTTGGCATTCGGCCGCAGCAGTCGTGCCTTTCGCTTGGAAACGTCGCACCCTTGCCGTCGGGGGTTCCCAGATGCTACCTTGCCGGTTGTGGGTTCCTCGTGCCGAGGCCTTTAAGTTTCAGGGTTGCAGCCTCCCCGAAAGCCGAAGCCATCTCTCATTGTCACATTCACATGCCGTGGGAAACTTTTCACATGTGCCAAAGCGGCACATGTGCGGAAATCACCGCTTTCTGTCAAAACTGCTGAGTGCGCGCTCGTGCTTCCCTAAGACCTCTTGTCCCTCCGGAGCTTGTCCCACCTCGTATCCGCAAACCACGCCTGCCGAATCCATTTTTCCCCCACGGTGTCCCTTCGCCGCCAGGCTCCGTTTGCCGATGCCAAAGGTGCTGTCGGGCCCCTGGAATGCCTGGGTTCAAGGGTTTGGGGGCTGTTGAGCACGGAGGCCATTAGGTCTGATGGAGAAGGTTATGTGGTCTGCCCACTTTGATTGTTCACTCCTCGGCGAGGCTTCTTCGGATGTGCCTGTGGCCTGGGCCTTGGGCAACCTCGCGTCGGGTGGATCCCCAGAGGCCGCGCAGCTGTGTAGCCAATTTCTTATAGAGTTCAAGGGTCAGTCTGGGCTGTAGACGCAGGGTTGTGGGCTGTGCAGCCAGTTTCTTAGAGTCTTGCAGTTCAAGGGTCAGTCATGGGCCGGAGCCCTTACTAAGTCACTAGGATCCGTGGGCTGTGCAGCCCCTTAGTGACGGGGGTTTGGGCTGTGCAGGCCTTGCAGATACAGGGTCGTGGGCTGTGTAGCCCGTTTCTTAAGTCACTAGGATCCGTGGGCTGTACAGTCCCGTAATGACGGGGTTTGGGCCGTGCAGGCCTTACGGATACAGGGTCGTGAGCTGTGGTCACTAGGATCCGTGGGCTGTACAGTCCCGTAATGACGGGGTTTGGGCCGTGCAGGCCTTACGGATACAGGGTCGTGGGCTGTGTAGCCCGTTTCTTAAGTCACTAGGATCCGTGGGCTGTACAGTCCCGTAATGACGGGGTTTGGGCCGTGCAGGCCTTACGGATACAGGGTCGTGGGCTGTGTAGCCCGTTTCTTAAGTCACTAGGATCCGTGGGCTGTACAGCCTTAATGACGGGGGTTTGGGCTGTGCAGGCCTTACAGATACAGGGTGGTGGGCTGTGTAGCCAGTTTCTTAAGTCACTAGGATCCGTGGCTGTACAGCCCCGTAATGACGGGGTTTGGGCTGTGCAGGCCTTACGGATACAGGGTCGTGGGCTGTGTGTAGCCAGTTTGAGAAGTCACTAGGATCCGTGGGCTGTATAGCCCCTTAATGACGGGGGTTTGGGCTGTGCAGGCCTTAGATACAGGGTTGCGGGCTGTGTAGCCAGTTTTGGGCTGTATCGGCGGCATCTGTATATGATAGTCTAGTCTAGGTCAGTCGTGTCTGTGTGTCGGCTGTTCTCTCTTGTGCCGTGTGGTTGGATTGTCTGCTCCACTTATCCCTGGCCTTCGGTTGCCAGTCTCGGACAGAGCGCATGTGCATGCAGCAGCCATTGCTGTCCGCCCAGGTCCCATCCTCACGAAGCGGTAGGGTCCCCAGGCACACCTGGTCGAGTCATTGCGGGTGAGAGTGTGTACCTCCTCCAGCACCTCCCCAACATCCGATCCACCCCCCTGCTGCCTGTTGCCTTTGCGTCGCCTTCCGTGGTCGCAGTTTTGGCTTTTCCGGTCGTGCTCGAGGTTTCATCGTCATGGAGCCGGCTCCGAAGCTCCGAAGGAGGCTGCTGGCCGAGAGCTCGGACTGCAGCCTCGCCTTGTGCCGTCTCGCCCGCTTCAGCTTTAGCTCCAGCTCCCAAACACCCCCCCAACTGGACTATCACCTCACAGGCAAGTTGAAGTTCTGCATCGAACGCTCTGAAATTAATCCTACCTTCAGAGAACCCTACAGTAGCCCCACAGACCCTTATCCAGTGGTGTCCTTTACCTTACCCTAAGCTACAGACTCCTGCTTTAACCCCCTGCATAAAGCGTGGGCTTTGTATTGTATACAGTACGACTGTGCGATATAGCCGTATAGCCCGAAAAGTCCTAAGCCTTGCTGTCAGGCCAGTGGCAGATGAGTCTTCTCCGAAGCGCGGGCATGGAACTCAGCCAGCGCAGTCTTTCCTGCTGTGGGAGCGTTTTGCGCAGAAGGGGTTTCACTGGGCGCGCAGGTAGACCGTTTGCCGCTTGCCTGGGATGTGATTTCCCAACAACCGCAGCCCTAGGATCACCGCTTTCTCGCCCCTCCCCACCCAAGGATGAAAGTAACCCCGAACCAAAAAGGCCGCATAGAAAACCCGCCGAAGCAGGAAACACCGACAAATCTGCAATGCACAACACTTTCGCATGGCAACTGCAAGGATCCACGCATGCTTGAGAGTTCACTGGGCGCCTGTAGGCAACACAGACCTCGTGATAATCGTGACACGAAGCAGCCAGTCAGTCCAAAATACCAAAAGCGAGGTCGGGTGCGACCTACAACATGAGGTACGGTTTGTTAGTGCGCACCTGGCACCTTGGCAGCGCCGCATGGGCAGTGAAGTGATCCGGATCTGTTGGATGGTGTCGAGGACTTTGCAACTTGCTGGTTGAGTAAGTCCTTATAAATTTAAATCAGAGCCACTCGAGCCGGGAGGAATCACTTCACCGACGGCCAGACGGATGGCAGAGCACAGGTCTTGGGTAGCAGCATGTGACGAACTGTTAATTTTGCGGTTTACACTGGTCTCATGCTGTTGCAAGCTAGACCGGCAGGACAGATGCGGACATGGGCAGCGGCATTGAAGATGCTCTGGATCTTTTGGATGGCATCGAGGACTTTGCAACTTTCCTGACTTTGCTCGTTGCAAGGCCGAGTGAGACCTCAAATCAGAGCCACTTGAGTTGCGGGGAACATCACTTGACCGACGGCTTCTTGGGTCGCCAAGCACAGGTCTTGGGTAAGCAGTACTTAGACTTACCAGTATGTGATGATTTGCTATCCATTTTTGCCGTTTACAGTTGCCTCATACTCATACTGTTCAAAGATGGACTGGCAGGACAGGGATGCGGACATGGGCAGCGGCATTGAAGATGCTCTGGATCTTTTGGATGGCGTCGAGGACTTTGCAACTTTCCTGACTTTGCTCGTTGCAAGGCCGAGTGAGACCTCAAATCAGAGCCACTTGAGTCGCGGGGAACATCACTTCACTGACGGGTTACAGTTGCCTCATACTGTTCAAAGATGGACTGGCAGGACAGGGATGCGGACATGGGCATGGGCATTGAAGATGCTCTGGATCTTTTGGCTGGCGTCGAGGACTTTGCTTGTAATTGTAGTTGCAGGGGCCAGTGACGGCTGGTGAGCTGCTGATCAGTGCTTCCTCAAACCAGCATCCTATAAGAGGCGCAGACCAGCAGGACAGGGCTGGTGTAGTAGCTATATTTGTAATGATGTGTCATCATCTTGACTTGACAGTTTACACTTGGTTCATGCTGTTGCAAGCTGGACAGCCAGGAGAAGGTGTTGGGCGTGGGCGTTGAGGATGCTCCTGATTTGTTGGAGGACCTCGAGGACTTTGGGTGCAATATCCATGCCCAGCGAATCGTCACGTCAGCATCATGCAACTGAGTCGAGAGGAACATGGCCCATGGCCTGTCCGACCGTTGGTTGTTTCAAGCTGGGCACCAGGACAGAGCCATTGACAGCGAGGATGATGCAGATCGTTTGGAGGATTTGGGGGACGTTGCTGGAAGTCTAGTGAGTCTTGTTAGTGGCTCGTGGTTTGAACCATTTCGTCGAGAGGAGATGTGTGAGCAACTCGACAATGGCGACGTTGCAGCCGCAGCCCCGACCTCATCATTGCATTCGAGAATCTTTCCATACTATGTATGTGCAGTGCTAGCAGCAGTCTCTTAGGCCCGCGACACAGTTGGAGCAGCTGGGGGCTCACGGCCGCAAAAGGCGTCGGGCTTGGAATGCGTTCAAGACTTTAAGACATGTGGCTTGATTCTAGTCACCAAACTGTGTGGGTGTGTTGCTACGATTCTATACACGCAACTTTGCCGACTTTGCCCTGGAGGTTTCAGTCTTCGGGTCTGGCAAGGCAAGCGCTCGTTCTTACGAACAGTTGTGCCTGCTGGCTGCAACTGGCAGGGAGGCGAGACAAAAAAAACGGTCGCACCAACTGCTTCAAGAACAAGGAGATGCCGTGAACAAACTTGCGATTGAAGTGAACCAGTCAGTTGTGACATTGGGTTCCAGCGTTCCGAGAATCAAGGCGGTCCAGCTGAGAGGCAAGCAGAGGTTTACCCTTTGCACTGCCAAAACTGCGAAATTCGTGGGGGCTCGGCGGGACAGATACAAACTCACCGTGAATGAGATGTGTCAAGTCGCCTTCGATAAACGCACCAATAGGGCGGCCCAGGCAGATAGCCTCAATTGCAGCCACAGGACCGTGCGGCGTGCGTTGATGGTAGTGAGCTATACTTTGATGGAGAAACAGTTGGCGCAGCTGCATGAATTCAAGGCCTTCATCACCAGTAAACGACCTGACATTGCTGCAGCTTGCTTGATGTTTGACGAGACTTCACAGGTACTTTCTTTGGCAGCAGTTCCTGAGACAACGAAGCAACAACAGCGATCCTCATGGAGCGTATTGGTTGGCCACTTGCATTTCGCAGTGGGCTTTTTGAGAAGCCCTGGCCTGAAATTATACAAAGAGGTGGTATTCCCGCCAGTACCATTGGTCACGAATTCCGCTGCGGCAATCAATGCTGGCCTCTTCCAACATCCGCTCTCCGGACCTATTCTCACCGAATCCCTGTTCAAAGCAACTGACCTTCCGTTCGTTGGTATCTAACCTTCTGACCTTTTCGTTTTGGGAGCCTTAAAGGGGCTTTGAAAGCAGGATTTAAAGTGAGCATTGAAGACCATGAACAGTGAACAGTGGACAGCAACAGCAGCAAAAGCAGGAGCAGCAAGCAGCCGGAAAACAGATTGCAAATTGGAATGGGGGTGGGGCAGGGCAAGCTCAAAAATGATGTCGTGAAAATATTGTTGCCAGAGGGAATATACAACACTGTGTGTAGTAGTAGTAGTGGTAGTAGTAGTAGTAGTAGTAGTAGTAGTAGTAGCCGCCACGGCTCAGACGTTTTGGAAGTTTTGCGCTGGCTTTCGAACAGGCTCTGGATTCCAACCTTGCGTTGCTAGAGGTCTCAAACAGGCCTCTCTCCGAACGACTAAGGGTTGGTTCCTCACGTTGAGCCATGTGCCATGTGCCAACAGTTTGCGTCTGAGCCGCCAGGTCCCAATTCCTGGACCCAGTACCCTGTCTTAACACGGGCCCACTGGGCAGGCGGTAGGGTTTCCACTAACCGCGTGGTGGAGGGAGTCACTCGGCTTGCCTTGTGACGAAATAGCGGATGGCGCTGCTCCCAGTGCACTCACAAAATTATTCTCAGATCAGGAAGAATTCGTTCAAGCATGTTTGCAGAAAGGTGGTTGCAAGCCAGCAACCCGTTTCCTACCGAGGTCAGGTCATGACCCCTGCTCTTCTCAGGCGCATGGGCAACTGCCCACCGCGGCCAGGTTCCACTCAGTCTTTCGCACCACGGTCTAGAGCAGGACAGGCCACCAGGCCCCTCCGTGTACTGTCTTGGAATGCAGGCCACCTTGGCCAGCAGCAATGGTCGGAAGTCAAATCATGGCTTTCCACTGAGGCACGTCACACCTGTGATGTTCTTGTGCTGCAGGAGACCCACTGGCAGGCTACGGCTGAATTTAGTGTTGCAGGCTGGTACTGCATCTCGTCTGCCTCTGCTGCAGATCCGAAAGCCTCAAGACGCAAACAACGCGGGGGCAAGGCCCACATACAGCCACCTGCAGAGGCAATGCCTAATGACGACAAGACCCATCCGCCCCGCAAGGAACCCTCGACAACCCGCGCGGACGGAGTAATGGTCTTTCTGTCCCCACACATACAACCTAAAGGTGTGAGATGGCAGGAACATGTCATAGGCAGAACCCTGGAAGTCAGGTTTGACTGGCACGGGGCTCGCATACACCTGATTGCTGTATACCAACATGTTTGGTCACCGGCCAAGCAGGTGCAGAACAATCGTCAGGACAGGGCACAGGTCCTAAAAGCTCTTGGCAGATGTGTGCAAAGGGTGCCACACCGAGACACGCTTATCATCGCAGGTGATTTCAATAGCTCCTTGCAAAAACAGCCTAGGCTGGTCGGTCCAGAGCTCATAAGCCCACAGGAACCGCGACCTGATGAACCAGAGCTCACCAACTTCCTGTTGAGTCACCGCTTGGTGGCCCTCAACACGTGGCGACCTCAGCCATCATTTACGTACCAACAGGGGGACACACGCACACAAATTGATTTCGTGCTTACGCGAGAGGTGTCAGCCGGAGGCACTGCCAAGGCCTCCACGCCACTGGCGGCTTTTCCGCTGGGCAGTTGGAAGAAAAGCGGGCACCTGCCCATCAGTGCGACTGTCAAGCCAGTACGCCACTGGAATCTGCCGCCTCCTCAGATACAGACACATCAGTTTGACGCTGCTGCCCTGCAAGCGGCTGTGAGGGATAACACGCTGCCAGCTCAGCAAATGCTGGAGTGGGTTACAACCCGTCTTACTCCGGACATGCAGCCGGCGTCATGGGATCGCCTTCTGGGCGAAGCCTCCTCCAGGTTTTTCCCTAAGACCCCGGTGGCAATGCCAGAAAGTCCGGAGACGTGCATTGCCAGAAGAATGTGGCGCTCTGCACGAGGGAGCAATGCTCACACCAGTGCTGCATCAGCTACAGACGCAGCTGCCCGTCAACTGCTATACGACCAGCACAAACTGGCGGTCAAGCAGTCTCGCAAAGATCAAACCAAGCGGTTCCTTGCCGAGGTAGACCAGGCTCTCAATCAGGGAGACCAACACCTAGCATACCAAACTCTCAAGCATCTTCGCCCGTGGAAACCGGCTCTGAAGGCTCAGCTCAAGGATTCGAACGGTTTCCTACTCAGCCCTGCTAACGAACTTGCAGAGTTGGGCAAGTACGCCACCAAGGTTTTTGCAGCGCACCCTCCGCTTCCTTCTGACGCGGGACTTCTGCCCCTACTGCCGCAGACTAAGCTGGCGAAACACATAGCTTCGATAAAACCTGGAAAGGCAGTTCCGAAAGGAGCAGCACCAGCCGCAGCCTGGAAGCTCTGCGCACAGCCGGTATCCGAGGCGCTCTCACATTACTGTTCTGCTCTGACACAGGACCAGCCACTAGACGATGATTTGACACGAGCGGATCTCTGCTTGATCCCCAAACCGGGCAAGCCGGCTGACAAGCCTTCCCAGCTCAGACCGCTGGGAATACTCAGGCCGGATGCTAAAGGCCTGGCGGGAACGGCTAAGGAACTCCTGGAACCTCTCACGCTGCCATACATGAAGCCTCTCCCTCAGTTTGCATACCTCCCGGGCCGGGGTCTCTCCGACGCTCAGAGTCGAGTGGTACAGCACCTGAGAGAGGCTCGGCAACTGTGCCGCACTGCGAACCTTACCAGAGCGGATCAGCAGCGGGGACAATGTCCTGTCGGTCTAGTAGGCGGCATTACCTTTGCACTAGACCTATCACAGGCATTCGACACTGTATCCCGCAGCGAAATCTTGTCTCTGCTTGACGAACTAGGCGCAGACCCCCCCCTACAAAAACTGATACATGGCCTGCATCATCGATCCAAGTACAGGCTCCATTCACAAGGGGCGCACCAGGATGTGGAAACCACCACTGGCATCAAACAAGGCTGCAAGCTGGCCCCCACATTGTTTTCCGTTCTAACAGGCCGTCTTCTGCGCCGGCTGATAGACACATTTGGCTGGGACAATGTCCGCAGATACTTCACTGGGTATGCCGATGACTTTACCATGCATCGCACAGTCCGTAGCAAAGCGGACGTGGACGCAGCTCACAAAATGATCCTACAGCTTTTGTCGGAGGTAGAGAAACTAGGCCTGCGAGTCAATCCAACCAAATGTGCCATTCTAGTCAAACTCAGTGGCAGAGAGGCAGAGGCCACGCTCCAGAAGCACACCTGTTGGCTTCCCGACCAAGACGGCAAACTCCAGCGTCACTGGC